AGGAAAATTGGCATATATATGAAATATATGCCGACAGAACCATAACCTTCAACATGACATTTGAGGAAATGTGTTGGCGTGAATCAACTATTTCTACTACGAATAGATTTTGTAATTAATGTTTTGAGTAAAATTAGAAGATTTTGTATATATTTTTTATTTTTGAATCAGGTTCCAACTAACAAGGAGAAATACCATAAGTTGGTTGGGAGACTGATTTATTTGTCACTTGCATGCCCTGACATTGCCTGTGCGGTAAGTGTTGCTAGCCATTTTATGCATTCACCTGATGAGGATCATATGGATGTTGTGATACGTATTCTGAGTTACTTAACGTCTCCTCCTGAAAGGGGTTTATTATTTAAAAAGTATGGTCACTTGGATCTAGAAGATTACACTTATGTAGGTTGTGTAGGGAGTATTACATATAAGCGTTCTACATCAGGTTACTTCACCTTTGTTGGTGGTAACCTAATTACGTGGCATAGCAAGAAACAAAATGTTGTATCTCGGTTTTCTTTAGAGTGTGAGTGCGTAGGGATTGCCCAGGGGATTTGTGAAATATTTGTGAAATACTATGGTTAAGGAGGTTACTTATTGAAATTTGGTTTAAATAGAGAACTACTACAAAGCTCCACTGTGATAGCAGTGTGCATTTGATATAGCTAACAGTCAGTCGCAACATGATCGGACTAAACATGTAGACTTTTATCACCATTTCATTAAGGAGAAGATGGAGCGTAAGTTAATTGCTATACCGTTTGTGTCTTGTTCGAAGCAGCTTGCAGATATATGTTGACCTATGTCATGTCAAAGTGATGATTCAAAGACTCACTTGACAAGTTGGACATTACCAATATCTATGCACCAACTTAAAAGGGAGTATTGGCGTCTAAGAGAAGAATAAATATATCAATTACTCCTAATTACCTTTGAGTTGGTATCCTATTTTCTATTCCAATACAAGTGATATTATGGAGAGTGAAATCGAACCTATGACCTTTAGTGTAGAGTAAATTTTCTTATCCACTTGACTTGAGTCTCCTCTTTACACTTCAGTTAAACATAATTACAGATCATATTAGGGTCCTGAGATGATGAGGATCATATGGATGTTGTGATACGTATTCTGAGTTACTTAACGTCTCCTCCTGAAAGGGGTTTATTATTTAAAAAGTATGGTCACTTGGATCTAGAAGATTACACTTATGTAGGTTGTGTAGGGAGTATTACATATAAGCGTTCTACATCAGGTTACTTCACCTTTGTTGGTGGTAACCTAATTACGTGGCATAGCAAGAAACAAAATGTTGTATCTCGGTTTTCTTTAGAGTGTGAGTGCATAGGGATTGCCCAGGGGATTTGTGAAATATTTGTGAAATACTATGGTTAAGGAGGTTACTTATTGAAATTTGGTTTAAATAGAGAACTGCTACAAAGCTCCACTGTGATAGCAGTGTGCATTTGATATAGCTAACAGTCAGTCGCAACATGATCGGACTAAACATGTAGACTTTTATCACCATTTCATTAAGGAGAAGATGGAGCGTAAGTTAATTGCTATACCATTTGTGTCTTGTTCGAAGCAGCTTGCAGATATATGTTGACCTATGTCATGTCAAAGCGACGATTCAAAGCCTCACTTGACAAGTTGGACATTACCAATATCTATGCATCAACTTAAAAGGGATTGTTGGCGTCTAAGAGAAGAATAAATATATCAGTTACTCCTAATTACCTTTGAGTTGGTATCCTATTTTCTATTCCAATACAAGTGATATTATGGAGAGTGAAATCGAACCTATGACCTTTAGTGTAGAGTAAATTTTCTTATCTATAACTCCCTTATCTCCTCTTTACACTTCAGTTAAACATAATTACAGATCATATTAGGGTCCTGAGACATTATTTAGGGATATATATAATTAATTTTCCATCCCCTTAAGGTATTTTCCACGTGCGTCATTTGAAACAGCACGATCCAACTTGACCTCCTGTGATGCATGCATGTTCCCTCAACATGTTGCCAGCTGACTCAAAAATCTTATCAACTATTTTACGGTTCATGTTGATTATGTTTTTTGTCACTTCTTCTTGCTACACCTACATAGTCTACACTTTCTCTAAAAAAAGGATGGCCGACTTGGCAGTCATTAAAAACCTGGAATAAAATCGAGTAATTAATTTTGATTCTTCAAAATATAAAGCTCATTTATTTTTGCATACCATCACGTTCCATTGAAAATTCAAAAAAAACAACTATGCATAATGGATGCCTTGTCAACCGAACCTAATTGGGAGTTAACCTCGTGATCAAGTTTTGTATTATGCGAGACAATCATGCTAATTGGTACCAAATTTTTTTAATTAAACAAATATACATGAACCATAATATGGTTTTTATACTAGTCATAGTAGGTGGAGAGTGATATATAGGTTTGGTTTATACACAAGAAATCGAAATTTTAAGTTTTACTTTATAAGATAGGCCGATAAGCTTTGCTCCTCCTCAAAACAAATGGAATTTTGACACTTGTCAATTTCAGCCAAGCTTTGCTCTTAAAATCCAAGTTTTGCCCGAACCTTACTCGAAATAATGTTTATACCAGAAATGGTCTGGTTCTTGCTTAGTTTCTTTTTTAGCCTTAACCTGATTTGCTTAATTACCACTTGTACCAGAAATGGTCCGGTACTAGTGAATTTTATCTAATAAAGTTTTTCTTTGATTAAAAAAAAGAAAGTTACAAAATGAACAAAAGTTTATTATGTATTTTGAAACAATATTGTTCATCATCAATTAGAGATGCAAGTGGTAATTTTCTATCAATTAAGTTTATAAAAGATTTATTATTTATTAAGTAATAATCCAGTTGTTTCCTACCTGGTCCCTTGTTGTCTGCTTTCGATTCTCTTCTCGTTTTGGAGCTCTATGGCCAAGGACACAGAAAGTCACATGGACCACTCCTAGAAATTTGAAATAAAAACACCATCAAGTTCTAACTTTTGTGATCAACTTGAAAACCTAGTTGGTGGTCAAAATGTTGACACTTCATATCGACGGTCCAAAATGGAAATGTTACACAACAACGTATGCAAGTTAGAGACTGTTTTCAAGCTCAACTTGTGAATCTAAATCAGTGGGTGGAGTTCCAGTCACATCCAAATGAATGCGACATGTTTAAAAGTTAGCAAAGAGTTTCGATTGGCCTACCAATCGCCGTTAATGAATCATCCCATTTTTCTTGAGCCAGAAAAAACTTAATTAGGTTGAATTCCTTTATATCGTCCAATTAATGAGTGAATATCATATTAGATTCTTGTTATGCGGCATATTGCCACCCCTGTTACTCGTGTGTTTTTCTATTTTGACCTGAAATAGATATAAAAAATAAAAGTGTTTAGAATAACCCTTCGTAAATCACACAACCTCTTTTAATGAGGTTAGACTAAAAGTATTTACAACAGCTTTAGAATGCTAAAATAGGTGAGCTATATCATCAAAATCCTCTCGAACAGTCCTGTCAAACTCAATCATCAAAGCTGCAATCTCTTTATATTAGAGAAAGTTCAGTTATAATTTAAACATATCCATACCTTAATTCATATTATAGGAAGTTCAGTTACTACGAGAGTACAGGATATTATCAATTGGGCAATTCATAGTAACAGACTAATCTTTAATCTAGTGATATTTATTTCAATGCTTCGCCTATCATTATTGAGGAAGAAAGAAAGTTGACTGTTCAATTCACATGTTTTTAATTTAAACAAGAAACCCACTAATTTTATAATGAAGATAAACTTGTACTAAAGCCAAATAGATAAATAAAAATTAAATAAAAAAATATAAAGCGGCAGACCCACAGAGACCAACATCCCCCAGCAAGATCAATTTTGTCATTTATCTACGTATGATCCGATTCGTTTCAACTTTTTTTCTCACTTTAGAAATTGACACCCAAATGAAGACTCTAGAAAGAAACCCATTTCAATTTTTCTACTGAGAAGTGGAACCAGCACGAAAGCTCCTCACCTCACCCAATAATTTATTTCACTAATCGATGTGTCAAAAGTGTCAAATAGACATTTAACAGCTAGAAATAACATATCACATCACTCCAACCGATGTGTCAAAGCTGATGTGGAATAAAAGCTGGATGTTGAGATGTTATTTTTGACATTCCAAAAGCAAGACGTCAAATGAATATTTTATTATTATTATTTTTTTAAATTAAAATTATTCAACACTAAAATGTAATAAAATAATAATTTATTTTGATATATCGGGTGGAGTGTAAATCTGTGTAATATGTCAAATTGCCACATCAGTTATCAATTTAAATTTGAAGTTAGGTATTTCACATTTCTCTTGAAGATGCTCTACACATCAGTCATCAATTTAAATTTGAGGTTAGGTATTTGACATTTCTCTTGAAGATATCGGGTGGAGTGTAAATCTGTGTAAGATGTCAAATTACCACATCAGTCATCAATTTAAATTTGAGGTTAGGTATTTGACATTTCTCTTGAAGATGCTCTAAGAGCAAGAATAATAATAGAAGAATGGGCCGCTTACGTGCCCAGGACCCACATATTTGTTGTCTCTATAGTGCTCGTGATCCCAGTCATCAGCAACGTGTAATCTACGTGTCAGAGTCATGGCTATCCGACACGTTGCATGGATGGACACGTGGCAGCCATGAAGCTCCGTCAACTTCCTTATATAAAGAGAGGTCCCCATATCTTTCGGTGACAACTTCAACTTCCGCAAAGAATTTCTAGGTTTTTCGTCTCCCCATTTTCTTTGTCTTTTTGATTCATTTTCTTATCGTAGTTTGAAGCCATTTTTTTTCATCCTCATCATCTTCAAAACCATGAAGGAAACCATGGGAAACCCTCTTCATCTGAAATCTTTGAACCACATCTCACTCATCTGCCGATCCGTTGAGCAATCTATTGATTTTTACCAGAATGTTCTTGGGTTTGTCCCAATCAGGAGGCCTGGATCTTTTAATTTTGATGGTGCATGGTAGGTTTCACTATTAATTAATGAACTCGGGAAATTAATTAATTCCCACTTTGAATAATGATGGGTTGATGGGAATTCTTTTTATTATTATTTTAATTTAACCTGAGAAATATTATTTTCTGTTTAAATCTTCATATGGTTTTGATGATGAATGTAAGGTTATTTGTGGGTTTTAGGCTATTTGGATATGGAATTGGAATTCATCTTTTGCAATCTGAGGACCCGGAGAGCATGCCCAAGAAAACTGAGATTAATCCCAAGGATAATCATATTTCTTTCCAGGTAATTATGTTTTTTTAATTAAAAAAATCCATATAGATAGCTTTGAATTCTTCTGGGATTTAAATTTCTTTGTTTTTTAGTACGACTTGATAATCTTTGTATTTGGAGCTTATCTTGAATTCATATTTTGCTTGTAGTGTTTTCTAACCTTGGTTTCTTCCCATCTTCCTTTTTCAATGATATCCTATTCAATGGCCAAAAAAAATATTAATTAAATTAAATATATGTTTCTAAATTCTTTTGGGGTCGTAATGAAGAGAAAGTATTTCATGAAACGGGAATGTCACTATTTTGCTATTCAAGGCCAATAGCGTTGTCGACAAGTGTGACAACACTTTTAAGTGGCATAGTATTATTGATGGGTATAGTAAAATAGTGCTATAAATAACGTTGCAACTAAATTTTTCTCCCTAATGAGGACAAAAATACAACTAAATACCTTAGACAAAGACAGTAAGGCTAGCGCCAGCTGACACGTAACATCTGCAATTTAACTTATTACCTAATGTGCCACTTTCAATGTGATCAATTATTATTAGGTTATTATTTGACAACGCATGCCTAACATGCCAACCAAAGAGTCAATGTTATACGACTATTACTTAACTCCCTCGTTTGAGAAAGATAAACAAAACAAATCATCCTAAGATTTGTCTTGGATTTGATAGATACGATGAGAGAAGATAAGAAAAATGAGATCGTTGATTTGCTGTCCTGTGTATTATTGCAACTTATTTTTAATTTTTCATGCCCTAGTGTGAGAGCATGGGGGCTGTGGAGAAGAAACTCAAGGAGATGGAGCTCAAGTACAAGCGAGCCATGGTGGAGGAAGGTGGCATCCACGTTGATCAATTGTTCTTCCACGACCCTGATGGCTTCATGATCGAAATATGCGACTGCGACAACCTCCCAGTGATCCCTATCGCCGGCGAGATGGCCCGGTCATGCTCCCTCGTAAACCTGCCTATGTTGCAGCAGCAGCAGCTAAGATTGTTGCAGCAATAGATGTACGGGCTAATTGTTTGTGTCAATAAGATTTATGAGAGGAAGAAACTACTACTACTGAGTTGATTTGTGCTCTATGTGTCATTATTATGTGGTAATATGAGGCTTTAATTAATGTTGAGAAATGAAAATCTTCATCCAAATTGAAGGTGGTTGTTTTTGGCTCTCAAGTTTGGGAATCTTCTGAGCTGGCCTGTTGTGATATCATTGTTTGTTTTTTTTCTTTCTTACCTTTTGTGTTGAGTTGAGTTGGAGATGGGGAGATATTTCATATTTGGGTTGCTTTGAAGAGAACACTTAAATTATATTTTTATGGTGATTGCATCGTTTTGTTGTGTTCTGAGAGGTAGGACTTGGTTCCTGTCCTTTTTAGCAATATAATATGGTAATATTTGATTGAGCTTTTGTACTTGGTTTGATTATATTTTTTCATATTCAGCTTTGCAGTCCTCTGTTGATTATACAAATCATTTGTTGAGAAGAAGTTCAATCAAGTTGATTCTACAAATCATTTAATTTTTTTATAATAAAGAGTGATAGTATTTTATTTATAAAAGGAACGAAAATAAGTACAAATAAGTCATCAAATATGGATAAATTTTTTTCAACGATCAAACTGAACAAGAAGTTGAATTGATCTGAAGAGAATCACGCACAACCCACAAATTAATTAAAATCCCTAATTTAACAACCAAAAGCATGTATATTCAAATCTACAATACAAATCCGTCGGTAGAAATGGAAGATTCATATTGAAAGTCCAAAACTAGAAAGAAATAATAAAACTAACAAATGATAACAAACTCCTAAAGAGTTCTTGAAAATTATTATACAAACAAATTAAGAAATAGGATCACCGCTCCACATTCTTCCGAGTAACCCAAAGAGAGCCATAGCGCCATATGACTAAACTAATAGTATTATACTGGTTAAACTCGAACACAACACAACCCGACATCTTCCTCTCATTGCAACTCCAAACTCATGTTGAAGGCTAACAACTGGAGCCAAATCCTCGTGGGCCGAAAGATGACAGACTATCACAGCTTCTTATAGTTTGTTCCACACCACAAAACAAAACAACAAAGTAAAATAAAGGAAAATAAAAGGGGGATGGAGAGGGGATGAGAGGAAGGAAAAAAAAGGGGGATGGAGAGGGGATGAGAGGAGAGAAAGGCCGCTGAGGGGTCGGCTAGAGTTCTCTTTTCTTAGGGTTTTGTCAGGGAGGTTTTAACTCCCAACTTTGTGACTTTTAATTTATTATTTTCTATAAGAAATATATAATATAAAAAACAATGATAAAAAGGTACACTAAAAGGACACGACCTACTTTACTCACTCACTCCACTCATTCACATCTTTTCAACTTTCACGAAGATAAAAAGGAAGAATACTTGTTCTTTTCAATCCACCAAATCAATCGGTGCTCTCAAATTACCTTTCACTTAACTTTATTGTTCTTTCAGATCAAGCTGAAAATGCAGTCGCATGATGATGGATACCGACTGGCCTTTATGAGAGAGCAATGCTTCAAGTGACCACGAAGTATGCCCAATTATTTACGAGTTCACTCAAATTATAACATTTTAAATTTTATACAATAAATTTTAAATTTATTTAATATTTTATAATTTGTGTAAACCTGAAACATAACGTTGGTGTGCCACGCGTACGAGCATCATCACACACCACAATTTTTCCTATCCAACAAACCACCTCAAAGGATCTACAATGTGTAAATCTAAACTTGTTGTTTTTCATTTAATATCGGTTTTGTTAATTTTATTATTGGATAAAGTTGTAGAAAAAAGGTTATAGGGGTGGATGCGAGCTGTAATTGAGTGGGAATCACGTCACATGGTTAGTGTTTTAGTTGCTAGATCTTTTTTGAACCTACGAAAGAATGACAACTCCATTGCTGCTGTGCTGCCATCCACAATCCTTGCAGATCCCATACATCCTGCACAGAAACTGCAGATAAGACAAGTCAAAATTTGCATTTTTACCTTAAATGAGAAGTAAGAAAAGAAAGAACAGAGAGACCAGGTGTTTGTTTTGAGGGAATAGGGGCTTAAGAATAGTTCAAATTCGGCCGGACTGACAAAGGTATTATGGCTCTTCAATAGATATGAATGAAGAAATAAAACCATATCTAGGATTAAATTCGAAATGAAAGATATGGGATTGAAATATTACGCATTGGAGCCTCTATCTATATTTAGTATCGATGCATTTATTTAGATCATCAAAAATATTTAAAAGATAAGTTTGCAAGCCAGTTAGCTACCTAACCTAGCTAATGATTTCTTACATCATCAAGATCATGTGTGAGATGTAGGAATATGATCATGATGACAGTACTATGTGTGTATTTGATGTATACGAGGTACACCATGACATTGGTGTACTAGCATACACATAACTAAAGGGTTCGATAAGATGTTAAACTTATCATTAGAGAGTTATAAACTATCAATAGGGAATGGTTTTTATCACGAAAGGATAAGGACTATGTAAGTTACAACTTCTCTACAAAAGAGGATATACGTCCTCGCGACAACACATTTATGGATTTCTCACGTTTACTTGTAAGGAATGGGGAACTTAAGAATAAGGGAATACGGAATTAGAATCAGATCAACTACTTCTTTCTAGTTGATTTGATTTTCTTGGGTTTAAGTAAACACATGGGAAGTAAAGAATTGGAATCATTACAATACAAATGTGTTAGTAAACACAAGAAAGAAGAAATTTGAATGATTCTGATACCTATTACTGATACGCAAATTTGCCATTAGTGTGCCTTCTTTCCCTTGACACTATCACATATATGGTGATAAACAATCTAGTTTTCATTTCGAGATCTAAATCTTTATGCATATGAATTGGGATAATGAGATCCATATATCCAGCGCAGGGTGCCATAAGTCAACATGCAAGTGCTCTGTTTTTTTTTGGGTACATGCATGCGTTGTTTTGTCTTTTTTTCTCAATTGTCCAAGGACATAAGACATGAAATGGAATCTCTGAATTAGTATTACTACGAGAAAGATTAGCCTTGATCAGTTGGTGGAGGAAGAGTAAATAAATAAATAATATAGGAATACGTACATAATTAATCTTAATTATGATAATATAGTGCACGTAAATAATGGAGGAAGAGTACATCAGTTAGAGGCCCCTCGCAAGCATTTGCTCATAATTCTCAATCGACTCAAGCCTTTGGATCAAAAGCTGCTTCCTGAACTTCTTGATGAATGCCTCTGCGCTTTCGTTGATGTCTTCAGTTGACTTCCTCTCCAGCTTATTCTTTGGTGCTTCCTCTTTGCCATTTTCCATAGCATGAGACCTTGAAGCTCCAACTTTCTCCACTCTAAAGCTTTTGGCTTTGTCTTTCTCGTCGACAAGTATCGGAGAGTGGTATGGATGAGGAGACACGGTGCTCTTCTTCATGGTTGCTGCTTCTCTTCAGTTTTCTCCAATCCAAGAACAATTCACAAAAGATGAGCTTTCTGAGCTCCTTTGCTTCCATATTTATATGGGGAAAAAAAAGTGCTATATATAGTTTATTATATTCCTTTTTTTCTTCTATTTTTTTTAGCAAGATGCTAATTAATAAAAGAGCCTCTTCTAAGTTAAAGCTACCCAAAAAAATACAAAAAGGATAACGTCAATTATTTCTCCATGATCAGTTTAAGATTTCAAGCTTTTGACTTTCTAGTTTGATATTATTAGTTGAAAACAGCATCCCCGCTGGCTAATTAAGTGACAGATGATTAATATCCTACTAATTAATCACATGGGTTTGGTCAAGGAAATACAACTAGTTCATATTGATATTGAAAGCGGCAGTTGGTTTTCTTTCAATAAAATTTGGCAGGTATTCTCTTGTTTCATTGAATTATTAAAAGGGGTTTGGCTTAATCATATAGATGCGAAAATTGACCATCTTCCCTGTAAAGATTTGATGTATATATTTATTTTGTAGTTATTAAGCTACACGCATGTGAGTGGACCCTTGAAATAATTTGCGGCTTAAGACAAGGGTTAAAGCCGAGAGATGCCTTATTATTAGGCGCCATAGTTGTTGAGTCAAGAAATTATGTAATACCTTGGGATGCAATTATGTGTTTGTTTCTCCTCTCCTTTCTGTATTATTGGATCAAGTAGAAAGAAGCTTCGTGACTTACGACTTGTTGTAATAAAGAATAGTATGGCATCTGTACCTAACTCTGCCCATCTATGGAGGTACACAAGATGCACACGTTGTATGCAATAATAATAATAATATGAAATTGTCAACGGGTATAGTCGGGTGGAAAATGATCTTGACTTGTAGATCGGTTGTTTCATATTCGAACTTCGATGACACTTAGGCAGTGTACGTGAGAAAACCTAGCCGCTCCTTCATCAAAATAAAAAATGAAATTTAAGAAGTACATTGCACATGCGTGCGATTAACTGAGAAGGTATGGCAGGTTGGCATCCATATGATATGGGTGACCTACACCTTAGGGATGGCAGAGGAGTGGGCTTGGATCAGATATTAGCAACAAGAGAAGAGATTACATTTTTGCGTTAGGAAGGCCAAAGGGGAACAAATAAGAACAAAGCCAAAGGAAGAAGAAACAAAAGCATTATTACGCTGGTGGACCAAAAAACACAGAGAAAAAGAAAAGGAAAAAGATAGGATATGAGGATATAGTCGATTGGTTTGGATAAAAGCATTTGACCAATTCTTTTTTAGAAAGATTGGATAGAAAAATTCTTAAGCGGAGCATCTTATCTAACAAATACTTTGAGGTGAATTTCAAAACTCGGTTTGATAGGAGAATACGCACATATCATTGACTTCATACAAAACAAAATGCATGAAGAGATATTAACACAAGACCTTATCAAGCACTTTACATATTCCTTGTGTATATCTATCACATATATGTACGACCATCAAATGTTGGAATTGATCACTGTTATATCAATGGTTTCTCACGGTGCTATGTCAAAATAAATTATGCAATTTTTGAGATCATCGCCATATATTTTTGTTCTCTGATTACACTCACGCACATGTATACATTATTCCGAGTTCAATCGGTGATTAGTTTGGTTCTATCATTTTCCTTTGTAAGTTACTAAGAAAATCTTATGTTTCGTACATACATAAAAGGGAAGTTCATATCCCAATTTTTTTTTGGTCAGAAAGATAATTCCATTAAAAGAGGAAAAGAACACGATGGCAGTTACACAAAGGTAGGCTCAAAACAATAAGCCCAGCAAAGCAACACACATAGCCCATAGGCCCACCCCAAAACCAAACAAAGCCCAAAACCAGGCATAAACGCCAACAAGAATTCTATACTGAGGGCCTTATATATGGTCCTTATGTGAGACCTTATCTTTTAACCGTTGGAACAAATTAGTTAGCCATTATATCAAATTGGTTAGCCTGATCCAATGATTAAGAGATAGAACCTCACCTAAGGGCCATATATAAGGCCCTCACTATAGAATGACTCGCCAACAAGAATTCTATAGTGAGAGCCTTATATATGGCCACCTAAAGTATAGGTTTTGTCAAACCCTAGCCTAAGCACACCAGATGTAAGGACAAGGCCAAAGACACTAGGGGTGGCATTTTAGACCGAAAAATTGAAAAATCGCAAAAACCAATCGACATTATACCTCATTGGAACCGCAATAGCTAAAAACCGACCGAAAATTGCGGTTTTAGAAACCGAATCGCAATTGCGGTTGTGGTTGCGGTATGTGATTTTGGCAACTCGCGGTTACCGCAAACCGCAAATATATTTTTTTACAATTGCATTTTAGTAGTTAGATGTTGTGTTTTATTTTGGTTGAGTTTAATATGTTATTAATATGCTTTTATGTTGTTGCTTTTGTGTTGTGTTGTGTTATAGATGAAGTCTAGCCACTCTAACACACCTAATGCCTCTAATCCCCAAAACACAAACCGATACACCCGAAACACAACCTCCACTCCAACTCATAAAGAATGGCTTCTTCTTATAATAAAATCCACTCACCACCACCTACACTTGAGTTCTTCTTTTGGTTTGTAACTTTAATTAACTTTGAATTGAATTTTTCTTTAGGTTGTGAATACTTGAGAAGTTGAGGTTGAGGTTGTGAATTTATATAGGGCTCGTCAATGGCCCAGGCCGAGCTAGCCCGGCCCAAATTTAATGGGCTTGGGTCGGGCCGGGCCGAGCTTTAAAGAGGAGAGAGAAAATATCGAGCCGGGCCGGGCTGGACTTTTTTAGAAAATTCAAAGCCCAAGCCCATCTCATAGGCCGGGCTTGAAAAAGCCCATCAGGCGCGGCCGAAATGGGCCTAAAAAATAATAAGTGTAAAAAAAAATTATTTTTTTTATAAGGATGGTATGAATAAATATGCAAATGTTTGGTGATGTGATAAAGAAAAGTATGATTATATTTGGTGATATGATTATGTTTGGTGATATGATTATATATATATATAATTGTTGTATTAATAAATGACATAAATTAATGTGCTAATCATCCAATTAAAACCTAGGAATGAGTAGAATTCAATAGAAACACAATTTTTCAAACAAGTAACACACACACAAAAAAATGAAAGAGGGGGATTTGTCATTCAAGTGATGTAATCCTAATCCAAAACCCTTATTTATACATAATTATATATGTATGCGGGCCTAACGGGCCGGGCTTTTGTGGGCGGACCAGGCCGGGCTTTCATGGGCTTAATTGGGACGGGCCTATGGGCCGGGCCGGGCTTCAAACACCCAAGCCCAAGCCCAGCCTAAGCCCAAGCGGGCCGGGCCCTCTCAAAGCCCATAACGGGCCGGGCCGGGCGGGCCCCCATAAGCCCATGAGCCCTCGGGCCAAATGATAAGGCCTTAATTTATATATGCTTGAGAAGTTGAGGTTGTGAATTTATTTCTTTAGGTTGGTAACTTATATATGCTTGAGAAGTTGAGGTTGTAAATTTATTTCTTTAGGTTGTGAATTTATATTTTTTGGTTAAAGTATGCTTGAACTCAAAAAGCTTCAAAAGAAGCATCAAACCTAAGCTTAAAAGTGTTGAAAATTGAATTTCTATGACACAAAAAAACCACACTTAAAAATCTAAAATTGTCTAATTTAGGCCTAAAATATTCAAATTGGTTTAAACCGTTAATTCACGGTAATCGACCGATTTTTGGTTTCAAAAATCACCTTACCGCAAATAGTCGGTCGGTTTGCGATTCGGGGAAAAATTCGCAGTTACCGAACCACAACCACCCCTAATACTAGGGATGAGCTTGCTAGGGAGGATGTCGAGAATGGTTTTAGAGGCATTGATGCTGAAATGTACAGATGGGCATCAAAATTTCCTTTTACATGGATGACTATTTCGTACATTTTCTGAATAGACAACCACAACCTGTGAAGCCCCGTGGAAATACCGTGCTTCACATTGTGGCTAATGTTGGCAATACAAAGATTGTCTCCCAAATACTCGATTATCATCCGTCCCTTCTTGACTTATAGAACAAAAATGGAGATATTTCACTATATGTAGTTGCATCCGCTGGGCATCTCTGTGTAGTCGAGCGTTTACTTGCAGTATAAAACTTCCCCTTTCAACGTCCAGAATCAAAGAGGCAACACTGTGATGCATGTTGCCTTGGAAAATCACCACCTAGAGGTGGCTGCATTGTTGTTGAAATGTGAAGACAGATTGGGGGCAAATAATGGAAATCTGACAAATGAATACAAAAAGGCACCCATGTGCATGGCTGTTGAAGCTGGAAATCTTGGTCTTGTTGAACGAATGTTATCCATAAGAATGTTGGCAATTAACAACTTAGTTCTGAGCACTGCCATCCGATCGGTGCATATTTACATATCATTTTGTACCCTTCTAATTTATGATTTGGTTATTTTTTTGAGTTAAACTTGCGCTTTTAATAAGTTTTGTGTTTGTTTCAGTGTTATAAGCTTGAGACTCACTAATTGCATTTTGGAGACAAGTTAGCTCAAAACGGTGTCTGCAGATCAGTCAACTTCACGGATTGGACTGTACTTGCTCAAGAAGAACCAGATGATGAGCCATATATCATTGGAAAGATACAGAAGTCTAGTTTCTGTATAATTTTACGGTTCATGATTCTGAGTCTTCTAGAGAAAGTTATACATGTTTTGGCAACTTAAGGTCAAATTCGGCAGCATCTGCGTTACTGGGCCAAAAATCACATTTGAAGGGCTTTCCGATTTTTCCTTGAGTTGGGCTGCATATTCTTGGAAAGATAATTCAAAGAGCTTCAAGATCCATATTTTTCCAGATTTTTCAGATTGGAGCCACAAGCCCAAAACGAGCCCACAAGCTGGCTGCAATGCATTGTCATGCATGACATATGCATGATGAAGTGTTGTTGATTGTGGGAAAGTTTGGTGAAGCATATTCAATACCTATTTTTGAGTGGAATTTTGCAGCAGCCAAATGAATTAATTGAAGTTGAAGTGGATGATGCAACACTAAGCTTAATGACAAGAAGAATTGTTTTCAAATGCAATTGTGTGTTAGGTTAAGTTGGTGAATTAAGTGTAGTGTGTTAGGTGAAGTTAGTGTGTTTAGATAATTCAATTGTATAATTCAGATTTTCAACTTCCTTAGGTCTTTTCTTAAGTTTTCAAGTTTGATTAGTTTCCAAGTTTCAATTATGGTTCATGTTCTTATTCATTATGCTTATAAGTTAATATGCTTGTTTGAATGATTGATCACCATTTAGGCTTGCATGTTAGCTATCTTGGTTTGAATTAAGAGTATACACCATGCTTTAATTCGAATTGAACTATGAATAGGAAGAGTATGTATGGACATTCGACAACAGGGATTAGATACATGCTTGGTTGTTTAAATTGTTCTTCTATGCTTAATGGGTTCCTAATGCTTAATTTTAGGTTAGACAACAAATGATCAAATTAGGGAATTAGGAACACAAGGTTATGACCACACACCATGGCTTAATCATACTTTAGCTAGAATCAATCCATTAATCTAAATTGAACTTGGGAACTTATTTGCTTGAGTTACTTTCTTATTTTCTTCCTTCTTTCATGTTCTTTGTTTTTGTTTCTGTTTTGTGTAGGAAAACTGAATTGGATCATTCAATCACCAATCCCTGTGGAATCGACCTCGCACTTACATACGCTAAACTACCAACGGTTCGTGCACTTGCGAGTATCACAAGTTGAGGATGCAGCTGAATCCATTTTGGTGCAGCTGAAATCTACGCAACACCATCGAAGGAAGGGATAATTAATGATAACGCGCAGAATTGAGTTGTCAATTGCCGACATTATAATGGATAGCATTCGTTCAATAAGGCCAAGATTTCCAGCTTCAATAGCCATGCACATGGGTGACTTTTTGTATCCATTTGCCAAATTTCCTTTATTTGCCCCCAATCCATCTTCACATTTCAACAACAATGTAGCTACCTCTAGGTGGTGATTTTCCAAGACAACATGCATCACAGTGTTACCTCTTTGATTATGAATGTTGAGAGGAGAAGTTTTGCACTGCAACAGAAAATGCTCAACTACACAGAGATGCCTAGAGGATGCAACTAGATGTAGTAGAAGATCACCATTTTTGTTCTGTATGTCGAGAAGGGACGGATGATAATCAAGTATCTGGTAGACAATCTCTATATTGTCAATTTAGCTGCAATGTGAAGCATTGTATTTCCAAAGGTTTTTGTAGGTTGTGGTGGTCTATTTAGAAAACATACGAAACAGTCATCCACGCAGAAAGAAATTTTGATACCCATCTGTACATTTCAGCATCAATGCCTCTAAAACTAGGGGTGGCATTTTAGACCGAAAAATCGCAAAAACCAACCGACATTATACCACATTGGAACCGCAATAGCTAAAAATCGACCGAAAATTGCGGTTTTAGAAACCGAACTGTAATTGCGGTATGTAATTTTGGCAACTCGCGGTTACTGCAAACCGCAAATATATATATATTTTCAATTGCATTTTAGTAGTTAGATGTTGTGTTTTATTTTGGTTGAGTTTAATATGTTATTGATATGCTTTTATGTTGTTGCTTTTGTGTTGTGTTGTGTTATAGATGGAGTCTAGTCACTCTAACACACCTAATGCCTCTAATCCCCCAAACACAAACCGATACACCCGAAACACAACCTCCACTCCAACTCATAAAGAAGGGCTTTTTCTTATAATAAAATCCACTCACCACCACCTACACTTGAGTTCTCCTTTTGGTTTGTAACTTTAATTAACTTTGAATTTGATTTTTCTTTAGGTTGTGAATGCTTGAGAAGTTGAGGTTGAGGTTGTGAATTTATATATGCTTGAGAAGTTGAGGTTGTGAATTTATTTCTTTAGGTTGTGAATTTATATTTTTTGGTTAAAGTATGCTTGAACTCAAAAAGCTTCAAAAGAAGCATCAAACCTAGGCTTAAAAGTGTGGAAGATTGAATTTTTATGACACAAAAAAACCACACTTAAAGATATAAAATTGTTTAATTTAGGCCCAAAATATTCAAATCAGTTTAACTCGTTAATTCACGGTAACTGACCGATTTTTGCGGTTGGTAAACCGCAAAAAGCGGTCGGTTTGCGGTTAGGGGAAAAATTCGCGGTTATCGAACAGCAACCACCCCTAAAAGACACTATGGCCAATATTGAGGGCGGGACACTGCCATCACACAAAAAGCACAACGTTACACATAAGACCCACAGATTTGCCACCATGACACAAACTCTCCCCAAAACATAGATACACAACATCACAAGGACAACCACTCGAGGATCACTAGCTCTATCGAACCCGAACCCGCCAATGCACCATAGAGTACATAGTAACCCGAACTCGCATATATTTAAAGAGTATAGCCGCACGGCTGTACTCTTTAAATATATTAATATATTTTAAAAGTATAGTCGCGCGACTACACTTTTTAAATATTTGCTTTTTGTTGAAGTTGACAGTGGCGGTATCCAATGTCATATCTACCGCATAGAGGAAATAGGTGGTATAACTGCTACCTTCTTAAAATATTCGAATATATTTAACGAGTATAAGGAAGAGTGCTTAGGAGCTGGGATTTCGATAGGGTCAAGTTTGGAGCTACCTATAAATCGGGTCTTCGGAGAGGGCGCTGCATTGGAGGTCGAAGCTCACTCAAATGAATCAAAATGGCGGTGGTCTGCAAAGGCCAACTGGATTGATGGGTTGCTAGAGAAAGATGAAGAGGTTGAATACAAGTATGAAAGGATACGCGCATACAGCTTTCAACCAAGTTTCTTTTTCTTCTTTTTTATTTATTTAATTTTTTTTAAATTTTTTAAGTAAACAAGTAGTATTCATAGTTAACAAGTCGGATTGGATAGTTACGCTAAATGGATAAATTGGTATCGGGAAAATAATAGAATAAATATAATTTCAATAAGTTATTAAAAAATAATATGTAATTCACTATCACAATTTTACAAACAATCACACTAATTTATGAAAGATTGTGATAGAATTTTAATTTGTCTAAATATAAATAAAATTAAAATAGGCAAGACAAGTATAAAGTTATCTTCTTCTTTTTTTGCAAATATAAATTATCTTTGTTGACAAGGTTTAAAATAACGTTTAATTTAATAAATTTCTAGTAACAACCTAAAGCCCAAAGAACCAAACACCAAGAAACCAAAAGGGAGGTGGTGCAAGCATCACAAATGCTATGAGGAGGGAGGATGATATATCAACTTTTACATTCACAAATAGTTATTAATTTATTTAAATATATATGATTAACTCCCTAATTTCACAAACGTGAGTAACTATTTGTGATAAAGAGACTTCAAAAACAAAAGAAGAAGAAGAAACCAAAAGGTGTGGTGCGGTTGGCAAACCGCCACCTCCAGCTAGCGAGTTACCTAATGCCTCAATGGCAGGGGTTTGAAATCCGTTTGAAGTCCTTTGTGGCTAGGGACAAGCCGAACCCCGAGCGGGAATTAATCCCACCATTTAGGACCCTTCGGGTGTGGGGACACCTCATGATATTTACCAAAAAATTAGAAGAAGAAAAGAATATGCTTGGTGTGAACATCACTTTCGTTGTCGTTAAGTGCCAGAACGACGACGACATGCATTCTGTCGTTTGATTTAAGCAGCGGACGACACCATCTCCTTCACAACATCCTTAAACTCTGTCCTGCAAATCCAGACTACGGCTATGGAAACCATATACAGATTCTCACTTCGTCTCGCCCCGATATCTCTCGCCGAAAAATGCCTCCAACCCAGAACAATCACCCCGATATTTCGGAAAACCCGAATACACTTTTCGAACCCCGGACCTCTAAACCCGGAACAGGCCTTTAACACACATTTCCCGACTCGGAAAAGCTACAGCTCAGGCTCTTCTCCAGTTGCCAAAGCGGGTTGGGTTCTGGGTTTGGGAGAGAAGAAGAAAAGCACGAGCTTGCCCGATATAGTGAAAGCGGGTGACCCGGTTTTGCACGAACCGGCCCAAGATGTTGAGCCAGGGGATATTGGGTCGGAGAGGATCCAGAAGATAATTGATGATATGGTGAAGGTGATGAGGAAGGCTCCTGGGGTCGGTCTTGCTGCTCCGCAAATTGGAATTCCCTTGAGGGTCAGTTTTGGGGTTTTCAGTTTAGTTTTTTCACCTTAATGGCTCAATTTTTTATAGTTCTTTCTCTGTTTTATCATTCGATTTTGTTTGGCTGCGGAGAAAATATGGTGAAGGAGCAAAATTTTAGCTTTCTTTTTTCCACTTGTGTTGGTTTCTGGGAAGGGTTAACTTTAAACAGTAGATATACCTTTTAAATAGTCAAATCTTAGTTCATTTTAAGCTACATTGCTGAATTTACTGATGTCAATATTATGTTTTTTACAAGCAACTATTTTTATTTTAGTGCAACTTATTGCTCAGCTTAATGGGCGGTTGTAACTTGTATATGGGGAATGGGTGTTGTGGATATCATGTTACAATACCAAGTCTTAAATTCTTGTTGAAGATTAAAATTTGATCAGTCCCTTTAATGAAATCCTTGCATTTAACAAAACAACTTCTTAATTCAGGTAACAAGATGGTCCCTAGAACGTTTAGAACTGTTGAAAACTTGGATTTACCTCTTGCTGAGGGGTGCCCCAAGCTTGGAGGTCGCTAGCTTATAGCTATGGCTATGGAAAGGCACTCCAGTTTACAAAATGCAAAGGTAAAGCTGTCATATGCGATACTGAGAATTTGTATGCAATTGATTCGGGTCTCTTTTGGTGCAATTGACTGTTGGAGATCAATTTATGATTTCAAAATAGATGTGAAATTTTGTGCAATCTTCTAATATATTGGAAATGGCTTACTATTGGACATCAATTTTTATATACTAGCCTCGCTGCACGCACTTCCACGCATGCGAAAGGCCTTTCTTCAATCACGCAATGCTACCTGCCATGTTCCGAAGGCCATTCATTGGTCCTTGCTTGTGAATCATCGTTTCTGTGCCATGCAGAATTGGCTCTGTGGAAAAAGAAATAAAAGAAATCAGTGTAATTATCTAAAAGTGCTTCCTACTGATATCTGAACCTAATGTTAAATTGGATTACCCATGCATGTTATCTGTGTGTGTCATATGTTTATGTTAATCATGTTACCATTCTCAGTCCAAATCGAAATTTCATTCTAGTTGTACTTGGTACTCATATGTGCATAGTGTTGTAATGCTTGATTTATAGGTCAAATGGGAGTTTATTGCTTGAAATGACAATTTTATCCGTGTACGTGATGAGCACATGAATAATATTAGACGGAAATTTCGATTTCGATTGAGATTGATAACGGTAAAATTTCGTCACCTCATTTAACATATGACCCACACCACAAGAATGAGGTGTGGAACTTGGATTATGGGCATAAATCTATTCTAAAAAGTGTTAGAACACTTTAATCTAGATAAGGGGACTCGGTACTAATTTCTTAGAAAAATAATTTTGCATATGCTAGTCAAAATCTATGCCATTAAGAAATAAATATCGGTCAACATGTAATGTGCACTAATAAGGAGACTAGTGGTCTTAGAATCCCCATAGAACCTTAATAGTGTGTAAGTGTGAGAAACACCATCTCTCTTATAGTTTAGATTATCACTTGTATTATAAACAAAAAACAAAAAATAAACAAAGCAAGAATCTCACTAACTAGGGCAACCCCTCGTACAGCAGAGGCCTCAGGGGAATTGAGAAGTGCAACACCAACGATGAGGACCATGAAAAGAGCAATCTTTGCAAAGTTCATCTTCTATGATGGCAAAACAAACTAATTAGCTAAGAAGCACTATTTTGAAAAGCTCTTAGTACAAGTGCTATTGGATGAAATAAACCACAGCAACTCTTGTTATATATAGAATTTTTCTGAGACAGAGAGCCCGACTTGATGCAGATCGACGAGGATCCTAGCTGACAAGATCCCATCATTGACTACCTAGTTAACAAAAACTTGCCAAAGGACAAGTCCGATGCTAGGAAAATCAAATAGAAGGCTGCGAGATACTACGTGAAAGGCGACGTGTTTGTTTGCAGATTTTACTCCGAACCTCATCTTACTTACATCAAGTACCTGCAAACGCTCGAGGTTCTCTGCAAAATACATGACGGTGAATGTGGAAATCACGCTGGGGGCAGATCGCTCGCCCAGAAGGCTCTCAGCATAGGCTATTTCTAATCTATCATGCGCCAAGACTCCATGGAGTATGCTCGAAGGTGTGATTGATGCCAATGCTATAAGCCATCCATGGCTTGCTAGCTGAAGAATACCATTCGCAGAACAGTCCATGGCCATTCATGCAGTGGGCCATTGACTTGGTGGGACCTATGCCGACAACACCTGCCAAGAAGGAGATGATGATCGTCGCCACTGATTACTTCACCAAATGAATCGAGGCCGAGGCTTTATCATCTACCAAGGAAGCTAACGTTGAGCGGTTTATCTGGAAGAACATCATCTGCAGATTCGGTTGCCCCCAGTCGATAGTCACCAACAATGGTACACAATTCGTGGGCAGGCAGATCACCACATTCCTTGCGAAGTATGGCATCAAACAGCACCTGTCAACTCCCAGATACCCGCATGGAAATGGCCAAGCAGAGGCATCTAACAAGATCATGCTGGACTGCTTGAAGAAAAGACTGGAAGGCGCATAAGAAAAATGGGTTGACAAGCTGCCAGGAGTCCTATGGGCTTATCGCACAACTAAAAGGAGATCAACCGGCGAGACACCTCTGGCCTATGGGACAAAAGCAATCATCCCCCCACACATCACAGTCCCTTCTATGAGCATTGAGGTGGGCAGTCTTGATCAAAACTGTAAGCAAATAAAAGTCAACCTTGATATGCTCGAAGAAGAACGAGAAAGGGCCATTGTTCGAGTTGCAGCTTACCAACAGTAGCTCACATCTTACTACAATAAGAAGGCCATTGTTCAAGTTGTAGCTTATCAGCTCGACTCCAAGCAGGCAACGAGCCTCCATTGCCTCTATTGTAGGCAAGCTACTTCATGAGTACAAACAAAATGGAGCTTTTTTCGAGCGCTATGTCCTCGACATACGCCCGCAGGCGACCAACCTTATCTCCACTGAAGGCAAGCTACTTCTCGAGTACAAACTTCATGGAGTCTTTTTCGAGCGCTATGTCCCTGACATATGCCCCATGCGACAAACCTTACCTCCATTGCATGCAAGCTACTTCTCGAGTACAAACTCAATGGAGCCTTTTTCGAGCGTTATGTCCCCAACATACGCCCGCAGGTGATAAGCCTTACCTCCATGTTGCATTCCTAAAAGGACACAAATTAATGTGCAAACAACCAATTAAAAATACCCGCAAGTGCACGAATCTATCGAAGTATAGATTATGTAAGTACGGGGTCGATCCCACGAAGAACTTGTCGGCTTCCTATAAGTTCTAATTTGAGTACGTAAAGAACACTTATTTAACACACCACAAATGCACAAATGAAAAAGGGAAACTAGAAATGAGTAAAGAAGTGTAAAAGAAATGAAACAACACAAGAAAACTAAAGAAAAACACAAACAGCATTTTCTATCACCATTTTATCACCACTGTATCACCTGTGAACAGTGCGTGAATAGTCATGAACAGTGACTGGAGACCGGTCGTATGAACAGGGCGACCGGTCGTTTTAGCACAGAGTCGAAACTTAATTTTTGCGTGATGAGCGACCGGTCGTGAGGTAAAAGCGACCGGTCGTTTTTGCACAGAGTCGTTTTCTCTGTTTTTCAGTTTCGACCTCTGTTCAGTTTTTGACCTATAACTTTCCAACCGTTTGTCCAAAATTCACGTTCTTTATACGGTTGGATTCAGCACACAAAAATGAAGAATACAA